ATTTCTTTTTAGTCATGAATTGCACTAAGACAAGTTCTCTTAACATACAAGAGAGAATGAACAAATTAGTACTGGGTTTCCTTTGAATTTGTGATTTGAAACATAATACCTCATGGAAACTATAGGAAAAGAAATCGTATTTCATTTTGCATTTCAATATATCAAGCCACCTAGTCTACATTATAACAGCGACCCAATGAACTCTGAATTCTAGCAATGGGGAAAGATAAGAGTTAAATTATTAGAAAGTGACAAATGAGAGACTAGAAAAGTTTCCCAGGGTATTTTCTATCTTCACCTACATAATTGGCAAAATTAAATTTTGTGTTCTCCTCTGGACAATAACTCATCACGTAGGGGCCACTGTTAATAATCACTACTATTAAGACCATAACCCACAATTAAATCCCCAGTTAAACCAAGACAATGCTGACAGCATTATTCTAGTCTATGATGACTGCTAAGCCATGATCAGCATTGTGTTAACTAATGTGGTTGCTGACAACCATGTCCAGACTTCTTACAGTAGACAAGGCTAAAGAGACACCACTAGAGGATGCCAAACTTGGTGATTGCTGATACCTGGCTCAGAAAATTTACATAGCAGGAACCAATCAGATCTTTTTTGGGCTTCAGAGGATTCAGAAAGATGCTTTGATATGTTGAATCCTTTTACGATTGCTGGGACGATCTCTGACCTCTATCCAAGCAGCTGACTTTACAATGCAATATGGTTATATTTTCAATAGAGGAGAAAATAAATTATGTTTTTGCTGCCACCAAATTATCCCTTACATATTTGTTCAGGACCCAGGAGATTTGTGTCATCTCCTCCTTACATTCCTCTATAATTAGACTCAACAGAATTAGATTTTTATTTTTTATAAATTCAATGGATATTCATATTTATTTGTAATCATTTCCCCATTTTTATTGATTAAAATGTTCATAGTGGCATGAAATTATGGAAGGGGCTAGAAAATAGGTAGGAGATCAGCCAATTATTTAGATATTGAGATTCAAAGAGTTAAAGCTTTATAACCATTCAAACACAAATCATCAACATCACATGTCAAAACATATAAAGTAAATATCCTTAAATCAGACTTAAATCCTTAAATCAGACTTCTTGGACAAAGTAAGAAAAATACTGCTTATCCTTAAATTTCAATTAGCTCTACAGAAATATTTTCCCCGTCAGTTGGGTGTGTGTGTGTGTGTGTGTGTGTGTGTGTGTGTGTGTGTGTGTGTGTGTG